CCCAACAGAATATGTGTTCTTAGGCCTTCTGTCCAAAGCTATAGGCAGTTTACTGAAATAATATCAACAAATCGAATGGCAGTATTTCGACCTGAGATTTTGCCCACAGACAGATCTAATTATGAGTAGGATACCTTGAAAATTTCAGTTCAACAGAATGTTTTCTTCCCGAGATATTTAACTACCAAAAAACAGAAAATTCTAGCATCTTCCGTGGTATATGAGTGATTTTTGGGAGTTCGATATCCCGGGAAGAAAACGTTCTTTTGAGCTGAAATATTCACGGTATCCTACTCCGTGGACAAAATCTCAGGTCGAAATACCTCCATTCGATTTGTTGGTGTTTATTATGTCAGAGACTAAAACTTCAGTAAACTGCTTATAACTCTGGACAGAAGCCCTAACAGCACATATCCTGTTGGGATTTTTCATATCCCAATGGGATATATTTTATGCACAGGGTCTGAACTCAAAAGTGATTTGACAGTTGAAAACGTTTCTTCGTAAGATGGTCTTTTCGCTTATTGACATCTATCTAAACTTTAGTTTTTAAACTTTGAAAGATTTAATTTTAAAATATTTTTTTTATATATAGTGGTTAAACAAGTTTGTTTTGATTATACATGTTCAAATGGTCGTGTATGTATTTCAACACCTTCTTATCAACCACTTTGTATTATACCAAGACGTAAGTTTCAAAGAAAAAAAAACAAACTCTATCAATTTTAAATCCATTTACTTTTTGTTTGTTCTTTTATCAATAGAATTAAATTTATGTGGTTCATCTTGTCATAGTCGTGGTATATGTTCAAATGGTCAATGTGTATGTTCAAATCGAACATATACTGGTGATGATTGTGAAATGTGTCGATTAACAAATTTAATAAATGTTGGTTGTTTACATATTGGTAATGATTCTCAACCACCATGTATGTGTTATTTATCAGAATCAATACGACGAAAAACACCATATTTATGTACAATACTTAAAAATGATCTTGGTGAATTAGGTAAAATTTATTTTTTTTTTGTTTTTTTAATTGAATAAAAATTTTATTTTTTTTATAGAAGTTCCATGTGATCGTATTATATCACCATTAGATAATGATCAATGTTCTCGAACATCATTTCTTGAACCATCATGTGATGAAATAACTCATTCATTAATATATCATATTCAAACACAAACATGTATTTGTAGAGAAATTAATAATAAAACATATCAATGTTATAATAATGGTCTTTTAATTATTAATGATTATGATAATTCAACAACATGTTCGTAAGTATTTGATTAAATGAATAGTTTTTTTTAATTTTTATTATCAATATGTTATGACATATCAGAGATGGACAAAGTCGCACCGCGCCTCCCCGCGCCGTTGCTCACGCCTACGCTACACTAGTCTGAGCTTCGATGAGCGCATGCTTAGAGCATCCCGGTATTCGGTGGAGTTTGAGAAACTGATTGGTAGAGCAAAGAGAAAGAGAGATGTGCGTAGCGCCTAGGCGCGAGCAGTGGCGCGAGGAGGCGCGGTGCGATTTTGTCCATCTTTGTGACATATACTCTTTCATTGAATTTATATAGTGATAAATATACTTTGAGATATCCTGTGTAAAAACAAAATTTATTAAAAATTTTAAGTAGAATGTGTAGTTTTTTTTGATAGAAACATAAAAGTTTTGTCTAAAATAATTTTCAGACTAGTCAAACAAACGCGTATTAATCTAAATTCACTGCAACTGTATCGGGATATTCTATTCTAGAGCAGCTATATTATATTTTCCAACATAGATTGTGTTAATTGTTATTTTCTTTTTAAGATGTTCGTTGCCATTTACTGGTACTCAATGTCAGATAAATTTATGTCAAAATCATTGTCAAAATAATGGTCAATGTACATTAAATGGAAATGATCTTATTTGCAAGTAAATTAATTTATTAATTTTAGAGAACTTTTGTTTTTTTTTTCATTACAATTTATTTAGTTGTCCGAATGGTTTTAATGGTAAACGATGTCAAAATGATATATGTCAAATAATGAATTGTAAAAATAATGGACAATGTTTTATAGAAAATAATAAAGCATTTTGTCGGTAAGTTTATCATTTTTGTTTTTAATATCTTTAGCAATTATTAATATATATATATATATCTAGTTGTCTTTATGGTTTTACTGGTGAATATTGTCATATACGAATACGATTAGAATGGCGTAAATGGATAATGATAATATTTATATGTGGAATTTTAATTATTCTTATATATGGTTTTATTCGATATAATTCAAAAATAATGCGTTTAAAACATTTATTTTCACATCATCGTCTACATGAACAAATTGGTTTAGAAATTCATCCAACAAATGCTATTTATCGTCATTTACCAACACAAGAAAATAATAATCATGATCGATTATTAGAAGATGTTTTATCAGATGAAATTGAAATATCTATACCAACAGTAATTATGAATAATTCAAATAATAAAACAGATGATTATATTGATGATCCTTTTTATGTTGATGAAAAACAACCAATATTTAATGGTGATCGAATAACTAATCGATCAACAAATACAGGAATTTTATAATATATAGTTTGAAAAAAAACAGAAAATTTTTTGTTTTACCCGGTGGTTATTGTTGCTGATTTCTTGCTTTTTGTATTAACATTTATTATATATATATATATATCTAGTCTATAGTGTGTGCGAAAAGAAAAATGTTTTTCGTTTGTTAAATGAAACTAAAGTGTTTTGTTTATAAATTCTATTATTTGTTGTCTTATCGTAATATGAATTTATATGGATAATAATAAAAAAAAAGGCATTAAATTCAATAAAACAAATGAATAATAATATTTTCAAAAATCATTTACTTGTTATTCAATCATATTCTCTATATTTATTGATAAATTATGATGAAATTTATGTTGTAGAGCTATTTGAAAAAGTAAGAAAGATTTCAACAGACAAGTACTTGAAATATATTGATTCAGAGAATATTTTATTCAATCTATTGTTTGTATATATATTCATTTTGAAGATTATTACTTATTTCATATTTCTGTTATTGTTAAACATCAACTATAATATGAAGCATTCGACAAATTCATTCAATTTCAGGAACATATGTTTGAACCGAATGTCAATTTAGTTTTGTAGCGCTTACATGGGCTTATGGAAGAACGTTGATGCAAAAAAAATAGTTTTTGTATCTTATGCTAGAGTTGATTGATTTTTCATTTAAAAAAGACAGTTATTCACAGTAATAGCAACCTTCTATCTAGACTTCTTTCATCGGTTCCGTATGATACTAAAATCTCAATAGAGCCGAAAGCATTCACTGAAATAAGTATTTGGGTTGTGGGCATTTACTTGTATCAATGAATACACATACCCACACCCTTTTTTTTATCGGTTACAAGGTCTTATGGATTCTGTATCAGAAACCAAGAGCAAAGAGACAATCTTATTATCGATAGAGAAATCGAATCATAGCAGAGAACATTGTGCAATAACTCTAGATGAATTAGAATTATTGTGTGTGTTTTATCCAAAAAACAAGTCGATTATTTTATAAGTCTATATCTGAAAAAAGTATTACAAAAAAAACTTACATTGATTTTGTATATTTATTAGAGAATAATTCTTTTATGGATCATAATAAAGATACGATTGATTGCTTAAAAATATTATTCTACTATCTAAATTACTTATCCAAGTCGACAGTTAGCACAAAAATAACTCTACCATTAATATTAAAACAATTTGTTATTTGATTCAAATCGTAATTTCCTAGGATATTTAATATTATTGTTATCATCACATATCAATGGATTTCGCATTTAGTGTTCTCAGTGTTTCATGTTACATGATGAAATCAGTTCTGCTGATATTGCTCATCTTATAGTATGCAATCAAACAAAAATGAATGTACATTCTCAGTTAACCTAAATCTGGATATGTATTTGAACAATTAAAATCTTGTAGTTATATTAACAGATGAACATATTTATTCGAGTTACAAGATTAACATTTCAATATTGTTAAACTACATTCAAAAATACATTACAGTTTATTTATCTAAAGTATAACGATGATTTCAAACAACTTCATGAAAGAAGATCTCACCGACCCATTCAGGATGATGTGGATAATAAACACACGTCGGTGCCACTTGAATCGTACTTGCAAACCAATGACGTATGCATCATTCTTCTCTGTTTTCCATATTTGGATCAACATCTCTCAAAAACGACATTCGTTGTGGTTTATTCTTATCATATTTGAAAAAAGCCAAATTAGGATTGTCACGTTCACATTCGTCGCTTGAAATTAATTGACGTAGACAACTAAGACAAAGAAAATGATGAGCATTTTGTATTGAGCCATAAAATTATATTTTTGACTTGTAATTGTATACTTAATGCAGTGTTTATAGGATTCATATGCCTAGTCATTAAATACTCATGTTCAAGAAGACTTGTCGTAATAATACAAAAGTAAAGGACTAAAAGTAGCTGAAGAAATAACTAAACAACATGAATTTTATACCACGATAGCTTCAATTTCTTCTAAACCTATGAACTTGGCACGAAGATTGACAGCGTATGAATTTGATTCCTGGCCCAAAGTATAAAAAAAACTTTTTCTTTTAAATAAAGGCTTGAGGGAAAATATTTCTCATATTTAAAGTTTGCCTTTTCAGCATATAGTAACGCTAGACTTCAGTCCACAGTGACGACTTAAGTTGCATATTTTTCATAAATGAATCGATAAAAAGTAAGAGCAACTGTCGTAGAAGAATTCGAACACTTTCGATGGATGAGACTATAATCATGAATCCATTTTGCAAAACTCTATCTAACAGACGTGACAGTCTTGTTAGCATTCTACATTTAATTCATTCTATTAGAGAATAATATATAATTACTTTTCTATTTTTATTTTCGAAAAAAAAAAAAAAAAAACAAATAGTTTAAACATTATCTTTTCATCAAAAAGTATCTTCATTATTTACTATGACAGATAATAAATTTTTAAGAAAATATGTTAGAATAAATCCACATATGAAAAGTATAATACCACATATAAGCATAATAATATCTTTTTTAGTTTCATCTATCATATAGACAAGTAATTCAGGTTCATCATAATTTGATGTAAAAATTATTCGATCATCAATTAATTCATCAATATTTCGTATTAAATTAATTGAATTAACTGAACCATATAAACATGTTTCTGTTGATTTTTGATAAATTTTATATTGAAAAATATCTCCTATTTCATTACATAGAATTTCACTTATATTAGTCGTACGTATTGCTATCCAATTTAATAAAATATCATGAATATAAGATGATGCATCAAAAAAATGATTATTTATATATTTTTTAACATCCGATTGATGTAAAACAGGTTGTAGAAATGAAAATTTTTCTTTCATATTATTTAAAATTTCTTTAAAATAAAATATACTTGTTTCATTTGTTTTCAATATTAGATTAGAACAATTCGATCGAAGAAAACAATCAAATAATGCTTGAATTCGATCATTTAAAATTTGTTTTATATCTATTGATAACTCATTTACACATATTAGTAAATTAAAATAACTACATATAGTTTTTAATAATATATATATATGATATTCGATAGATGAATAATCTTTTATATGTATTAAAGTATCTTGATAACTATTATAGAATGGATTCATATTTTCATAAGCATTTGTTAAAATTGCCAATGTACTAATATTTAATAAACGAAAATCATTCAAAGAATTGAGTCTATTGGATATTTGTTCAAACGTAATTGAAGTTGAAGAAACTTCTCTAAAAAATAAAATAATATATTTTAATTATCATTTTTCTTATATGAGATTTGACTTTCCATTGAGAATATGAGTGTAATTCTTCTCCTCATCCAAATTCTAGACTCAACCTAGTTGATTTTATTCAATATGATATTCTATTTAGAAAATGAGTAGAGTTATGATTTTGCTAACCCACATAATATATGTCGTCCTTTGTTCTATTAATCTTTTTTCATTTCCTCTCCTCTTACGACTATTTTGTAAAATATATTTTTCATGTAATCAACAAATAGTAAAACGTATAAATTTCTTTTTCGTTTCTAGTCTTACTTGAATTTTTCAAGAAATGGATGAGTATTATCATACAAAATATATGTATGATTATGATTAATACCTAATTGATCAATATTAATCATAATATCAATATGTTCAGATTCAATAGGATGTAAATTATCTTCATTAGATGATTTATCTATTTTATATGGAAATCGTTTTTCTAAAATAATTTTACTTAATTCTAATGTTCCATAATAATTCCAATTTTCACCATTAATAAACAAAAAAACAATATCTTTATTATTATTATTTGAAATTAATAATTGACTTAGATTAATTCTACCTAATAGCCAAGCTAAACCAAATAATGTAACTACACCAAATGCTGTTGATTGAGCACCAGCATCTAATTGATAAAGAAACCAAATTAGAAAAAAAAACTAAAACAAATCTTCTTACTTGTTGGTTGAAAAATAGAAAAGAAATCAAATTTAGTATAAAATATAATAACAGATTTTGGAGGACGAGTATTTTTTATTGAAATTGCATTGAATATACTCCAAACAATATTTATCATTGGACTTCGACATTTAATAGAATAATGTTTAAAATATGCCTCACCTAAATTGAAAATATCAATAGTTTTATAATCTGAATTTTTCTTTATTTACAAAATTTTCTATTTCTAATCTTGTGCATATACTTATTTTAATAAAATAGGAATTCATTCCTAATCGTAGTCTCAGATATACCAAAAATAGGATCAATTCGGTTTGATTCGTTTTAAATTTTTGAAAAATCTAAGCAAACTTCATCATTGATATATATATACAGCTCGTATTGTCTGACAGCTGTATTTTTATTTGAGAAAAGTTTCACAAAAATATGGTCAAGTTGCAAAAATAAGATTCTAATAGCAAACATTCATTAAAATCGTTCGATATCTTTCGAAGCAAACCACATAAGGAGAAACTCTTTTTATAGTAGATATAATTCTTTAAGGTTTACAAAATGTACACTAAATTTTGATTCAACAGAGAATTGATATCTAAAAATATTACATCTTATTTTTCTTTCTTATTCATCATCTGAGATTCGTATCTTTCGAGATTTAAGATTTAATTTCTGATAAAAAAAATTTTACCAAAATAAGTTGATTTTGATCGACGATTACAAATTTGAGCATTTTTAATACCATATGCATAGGATTTCATACTATAGAAAAACAAAAATTTCTATTTATTTTCATGATCAATCAAAAGAAACTTAACTGTACATTAATATATTTTCCTTTAGATATTTGTTGTTGATTATATAAATAACTAATTTTTCTTAAATCATCAACTATTGTTTGATTAGTTAATAAAAATATTGGTTTATCAATAGATATTCCACGAAAATCAATACCATATTTATTTTTTCTTATTGAACAATTTGTTGATATTGATAAATCAATTAAATTTTCTGGACAATTATTCACTTCTGTAAAATGATGATTATTAGTTGTATTCATAATTTTTCCATCAATAAGTATACCAACAATCATTGGAGCATGAAATATAGCAAAATCAAGTATATCTTTTCTTGAAGGTACAAGAACAATAATTGGATATGAATATTTATATGATAGAAGTTGATTTAATGATGAAATATCAATTAATCGACCACGATTACCTGATTTATGTGATGAACAACCAGTCATAGAATTTCTTGTTAAATAACGCATACAAAAATCAAATGATGTTGTCATATACATATTTAATTGAATAGAACGAAGTTTTAAAGTTAAACATTGAGTATTTAATAAGATGAATAGAAGATAAACACGATTAAATAAAGTATTATTTATCATTGTTAATTAAAACAATGTTGTTAGGCGCCAATAATCAAAATAAATTATTTAATTTTCTATAATCCATTCGCCGGGATAGCTCAGTTGGGAGAGCGTCAGACTGAAGATCTGAAGGTCCCTGGTTCGATCCCGGGTCACGGCATCATTTATTTTTCATTTTTTTATAGTTACGAAATGAAATAATTTTGTTTTGTGTTTTCTTTTTTTTTCTTGTAATATTATTATATACGAATGATTTTAATGACAAAAGATTTAAGCAATTGTATGGTTGATTATCTTTTGAGTTTTCTTTTTTCTTATATTTTCTTTTTAGCATCTCTCTTACATTGTCGTTTATTGGAAACATCACTTGGTTGTTCAATAACAATTGAATATGAAAAAATTGAATGGCAAGAAGATATACAATGTATTATTCGATTTCATGGACGACATTGTTTATCACCTATATTTCCTATTGAAATAACACGAGATGATCGAATACAAATGAATTTTGTATATAAAGATGTTGGCGAAGTTAATAAATTTTATTTTATGATTATAAAGTATATATATATATAATTAAATAAAGTTTTATTTTTCAATAGATTATAGCAATTGAAATTGAATTATTATCGAATAAAGATGTAGGATTATATATTAAATGGATAGAAATTAGTATTCCAAGAAAATCATATTTACAAAGGTAAGTATTTCTTTTTTAAAGTTTATTTTTTTGTTTTGAATTCAATTTAGATTTGATGTACAACGTTGGCTTCATTCGAATATGGGTGATGGACGAACACGATTAATTTTAACTCCAAATCAACTACCAGGTTATGTACCTAAAAGTAAATAAAAACTTTAAAGCTTTTTATAGTTTAATTTTAAATACATAGAAATGATTGAAAATATTGAACCACCAAAACGAGGTAAATGTTTCTAATTCATATATTAAATAATCTTTATTCGAATATTAGATAATGTCAAATATATGTTACTTATTGAAATTTCACAAGCAAAAGGAAATGTTGATGGATCAATGTTATCTATCGATCTTATCGGAAGTAAATACTTTGACATAAAAATGAAAGATATTCTATCTCTGACCATTAGTCTAATCATAAAATGAAAAAAATACAAAAAACTTTCTGTTATATAATTCAGTTCTACATATTAAGCTATTTTGGCAAACGACACATATCTACCTTTCATGTCTCTTTGATTCTTCGCAAAGGTTATTTTTCAACATAGGTTCTTTTAGCGTAGATATATAAGAAAAATTTTGGCTCTTTCAGTTGACTATTCTATAAGAGAGAAAAATTTTTACCGTTAGACACTGATTTTGAACTTTTTATTTGTTTATAAAAGTATTTTTTTCGTTTGGGTATTTGTATTTTCTCATGTCGCTGATGATAAGTAAATGGATTTTTTGAAAAATCTAGGTATACTCATAGATAGGAGTTTTAGAAGTTGTCTACAGAATATACTTTATAGTTCTCAACAATAATGACTCAATTCAGAGTTTTCAAAACTAAACGGTGTGAAGTAAAGACTAGTGTCCTTTCTTGTATCACGATGTTAGCACTAGTCTTTTACTCATAGCTTCTTTGAATAGAGATTTATAGCGCTGATTTTTTCAGATTATCTAGAGTATTTTAACGTACATCTAATAAATGAAAATTCTTTAGTACATATTTTTATTTTGCATAATCACATCATTAATGAATTCTATAAAGATGATAAAGAATCTAATAATTCTTGTATATAGGATATGGTCGAACATCAGCACATCGAATCAATATGAAATATAATAAAATAATACCATTAGAAATTCGTACTCGACCAAATAATTTCGATTTAACTATGCTCGATGTTGGTCTATTACATGAATATCAACTAAAGCTTGAAAATAAGCAAAATGATGGTGCTTATTTTATTTCAACAATATATATCTATCGTAAACATTATTATGAGTAAGTAAATATCGAATAGAATAGTTTTAATGTCTTAATTTTAGAGTTAATATTCAACAATGGATTGAAAATGGTCAAACATTAAATGGACATATTCGACTATTAGATATGCCTATAACATCAACATTATTCAATCAAGTTCAATCAAGTAAATTAAAAAAAATAGAATTTAACAAAAAAAAAGGAACGTATGAAATAATTATTTGTATTCAAAGAATCATCATTTATTTTATGGATAACTTCTTCTGATTTAATTACAAAAGAAATAACATTACCAATTGAATTTAAATTTAATTGTCAAAATACTATAACAAATCCCATAGAAGAAACAATTACTATTCGAGCTGATTTTGTTTCAGTTTTAGCTCTGTCAACAGCTTGTACAATGCCAGTATAGATTATGATTCTCTTTGTTTTTTTTTATATGAATTAAAATTGATAATTCTAGTTAAATTCTATTACACTTGGATATAATCGAAAATTAATCGATTATTGTATAGGAAAAGAAATTGTTATTCTTAATGTTTTTCAAGGTCAACATTTATAGTATACTTTTGATATTCAATTGATTTAAATATTGAAAAAAAATAATTTTTCTTTTTCCTTTAAAGTTTTCAATATGATAATGAATTACCAAAATCAATTAATGATATGGATTTTTATTCATTCATACTTGAAAAAAATGTTCTCTCATCAATAGCACATCATTGTATTTGAAAAGAAAAAAAAAAGATTTTTTTTGAAATTTGTAAATCTTCGATTATTTATTTAGCTAAACATTATATCATATCAATTTTAACATCAGAAAATAATTTATCAGAAAAACATACAATAAAAATTGTTCTTCGTGGTGAACGAGGTTTAACAACAATGCTTTCATTACATAATTCATCATGGAATACAATACCATTTAAACCAAAACATAAAGATAAATTTTTATTACTTGCATCAGATATTGGAAAAGTAAGACAAGAAAAAAAAAATTGTCACACAGATTTTAGAATTATACTTTTTGTGAAACACGATCTAACAGCAGTGTTAGAGTAGAAATCTATACTCTTCTGCTTCCTAGAACCTGTTAGGTTCAAAATTTTCATAGTTGGATCTAGATCCAACCTAATGAACTCTATTTTCCACCATAGACAACTTCAGGTGGTTGTGCCACATTTGATCTCAGCTAGTGTCCTGCACAGAAACGATTTTTCGATCCCATACCCATGCTCCGAGCTGGCATATACCAGACCCTGTTACAGGAGACTAACGTAAGTTCAACTTTTCTCACCAAAAATTCTAGCATCACCGCTCTTCTTCCACGCTACAGACCAGAGATGAGCAAAATCGCACCGCGCCTCCCCGCGCTTCCCCGCGCCACTGCTCGCGCCTAGGCGCTACGAACATCTCTCTTTCTCTTTGCTCTACCAATCAGTTTCTCAAACTCCACCGAATACCGGGATGCTCTAAGCATGCGCTCATCAAAGCTCAGACTAGTGTAGCGTAGGCGTGAGCAACGGCGCGGGGAGGCGCGGTGCGACTTTGCTCATCTCTGCTACAGACTATGATGGACTGTCTATGAATAATGTCTAGTTACTACTTCTCTATTGTAGGCTACAACGTGTTCCATATTTTAATCTTGCAGAGATTGTGCTTCTTCTTTTTCAGATAATAGGTTTAACGATGTTTCATGCAAGTGAAGAAGCAAAATTCAATTTTGATATTATTGAAATATTTGTACCAGATACAAAAGCATGTATTCGGTAAGTTAAAAAAAGAAAATATGATTGTCTAGATAGGTTAATTTTTTTAACTTAAAGATTACAAGGAAAATATGAAATATACAATGAAATTATTGATTTTAATTGTCGTAAATAGATATTTTAAAAATGTTTTAAATAATTGTTATTTTTTTTTATTTAAATAGAAGAATCACAAATTGTTTATATAGTTCAAATTAAATCAGGTTTTAGTACATTAAATGAAACAGCAGATATAATTTTAACTCTTATTGGTGAAGAATCTTCTATTGAATGGATGTTATTAACATGTGATGATGATACGAAACCATTTCGTACTGGACAACTTGATACATTTTATATTCCAACGAAAAGATTAGGAAAAGTTAGATTTTTTTTTGATGTTTTTCTTAATAAAAAAATTTATTTGAAATCATATTAATAGATTCGTGCTGTGAATATTAGCTGTTCAAATGTCAATAGTAATTGTAAATGGTTTTGTGAAATGATCTATGTTCATGATACGGTTTTTAATATCAAATCTAAGTTAATATTTCTATTGAATTATTATTCCTAATAAGAGAATATATTTTCCGATGACGATAATATATTTTTTTCCTCATTAACTATTGAGAATAAGATAGACAAAGGCTAACGAGTACAGTGTTTGTTTTTCTCAATATGTAAAAGGTCTTCTAATTACATTGTAATCATTCAGAACTACTCGAACCAAATATAATCTGATTATTTACTTATCTTTGCTAAGTGAATAAACATTTGTTTATAAATGATAACGACTATCGTCTTCTTCTTTTTTTTAATCACGTAATAAGAATATATGGAGACAGAAGTTGCACTCCATATTGTCTATGGGACTACGCAATATCGAACATTCTATATTAAATTAAGATATAGGTCAACTATAAAAAGGAGAAAATAGACAAATAAAAAGAAACAACAGAAATGCAAAATAGTTCTAATCAGATCACGTGTATATAGCAGATGAATAATAAATTTGTTCGCATAGTGCGTTTTTCTTCTTTTTCTATACATACTGTCTCAATCATAAATCAAACATATTAAGAAATAAGTCAATTTAAACAAACTGTTACTGTCTAACATTATTTTGTTTATAAAAAAGAAACATAACAAATTCACGATATAAATTAAATGTTCAAGTTCAATGAAGTTACTTAAAAAGTCATGACTATAGAATGTAGGGCAATAGTTCGACTTCTCAACACATATTTATGTTGTGGATTAGTCAACATATAGAATTCGACTACACACAAAGACATACAGTCATATGCATTACTAAGGGTAAAGTTGTATGAAAAAAACACGAAAGAATAATTATAATCATAGTCATTATGTCGATGAACAGTAAAAAAGCTTTTTATAGACAAACCAAAAAAAAAAAAAAGTTTTTCAATTTGGATTTGAATCATTTTAATTATACGAATGTATCTCCTAGAAAGTTTCTATATGAGAATTAGTGGACCTAAAAACTCTAATAAAACTACTTCGATAAAGATGTCCAGAAAACCTGTGTGTTTTTTTTGAGCATCTAAGGTTTCCAGACATCCTCATCCAAGCTGTTCTATTGAAGTTTATAGATTCACAAATCATTTTAGAGAATTTTTTTTAGCTATTCAAATTGTATTTTTATTCGATTGATGAGATAAATATAAACTGAATCGGAAAATAAATAGTATTCTCATCAAATATATTTTTTTTTTGTAAGTTATATAATCAATCGTTGGTGTGGTGATCATCATGAATCAGATTTTATTAATACATTGAATATAACAAGTAAAACAACTTTAATTCAACCAGCATCAACTAAATTACTAACAACATTTCTAATAACAATAAAAACTGGTATTCGAACAATAACAAATCCAATGTTAACACCTTCAATTTATGTTTTTTTTGCTGGTCAATTTGGAAGTTCACCTACTATTCATTTAAATGAACTTACTGATCGAATAGATTTATTTCAATCATTAGAAATTGATGAATTTACATTTACAATACCTGATACAGGCATGGTAATGATTAACAATTTTTATTTCAAAAAAAAAAAAGACAATTCTTATTTATCAAGTTTAGCCGGATATCATGCGTATTTGGAATACAGAAGATCTTGCTCCATGGACATGTGAATATATTGATATTAAAAATATAAATAATTCAAAAACAGTTCAGTAAGTAAATATTTTTTTTGTAAAATTCTATGAATAAAATAATATCTTATTTAATATGTTAAGTTTTCCAATGGGTGTTGATCTACAAAAAATTGATTCATTATTTCCATCATATATTGATCTTGAAGTTGATATTGGTCGTGTAACACTTTCATTACCAGGACCACGTGATGATGCTGCATATCCATCATATCAATTAATTATTCGAACGAATGAAGAAACAAATATTAAAGATAGTCTTGTTAATATTCAAATAAAAGGTGATAAAAATCAATCAAAATTAATTTCATTAATTGAAAATGATAATGATTATTCATTTGAAGCTGAAAAAATTTCAAAATTTTTTCTCTATGGTATTTGTTCTCTAGGAGAAGTATATAATTAGATAAAATTAAAATAAATAAAAATATTTAATAATATATATTATTAGTTAAAAGAAATTTCAATTTATTTTAATGAAAATCATCAAAATACAAAATGGATATGTGAATATATAATTATTTATGATTATTTAAATAATCAATATTATGGTACTAAAATAAATAATAATGTAACTTATGGCAAATATAAATTAGGCATAATTAAAAATATGGATCCCAATATTTTAAGTAAAAATACAATTAAAATGTTTTTCATTATATATGTTCAATTCTTTTTTTCTTTTCTATTTCTAGATCAAGAACTTGATCGTATACAAACTGAATTAATCGATGAGCAAGTTCAAGAATCAGGCAAAGGACTTATTCATTTTTAATCTAGAAAAACAATTTTGTAGAACACGATCTAAAATGAGTATTGAAGTATATAGAGTAGAAATTTTCATCCTCTCTTCACAGACTATGAGTCAGAGATGTCCATCGCGGCTCAAAATCTGCCGCTGCCGCGCCGCAACCAAAATCAAACGAAGCTGCCGCGCCGCTCCCGCGACGTGATGGCCTGTTAAAAAAAGCTACCGCGCCGCTGCCGCGACGGCAAAATAAAAATCTCTCCCGCGCCGCGATAGTTTTTGGAAAAAATCTGCCGCTGCCGCGCCGCCACCGCCACGGCGACAGCGGCAGCGGCGCGATGGACATCTCTGCTATGAGTAGAGGGAGCTGCGTGATAGAGCCTGCTGGGATTGCTACGGATTCTATCGATTGCGAATCGAACGAGGCTTTGAAAGTTTTCTGTGAATTGAGATCAGGTCCATACTTCAAAAACGTGAATTTGGAGCTTCCAAATCGTGACATATTTTTTAGGAAATCGTGTTTCACATTTTAATTCAGTAGGGATTGTTCTAACAGTTTTTTTTTTATTGTATTGTATAGATCCAATCTATAGAATATTATATAGAACTCAAACAAATGTATTAACAAATATAACACGAAATGCTGAAATTTTAATACGATTAATTGGTGATGAATCGACATCATTTTTTCCTCTTGAACATCATCGTCCATTAATATTTGGATCTATTAATGAATCTTTCTATCGAGGAAATGAATATATTAATGGAGTAAAAATTTTTTCAGAATTACAAATCATATATATATATATGTATATATTTATTTAAAAATAGTTAAATAAAATAGATCTTCAATTACTTGATAATGATAATACTCAATGGGCTTGTGAATCTATTGAAATTCAAAATTTATCAACCGATGATATTGTTATGTAAGATGCAAAATTAGATATGTTTAATAATTTATTTTTTTCTATAATAGATTTCCAATAAATGATATTATTGAAGCAACAATAAAAACAGATATAACAAATAAAAAAATAACAACATGGAAATCTGGTTTTAAATCTGGTATTGTTTATTTTATTCGAGTTCGAACAGGATATCAAGGTGCTTCATTAAATTTTCGTTTTGGTTCGGTATATTTATTATTAAAACTATATGGTGATTCAGGTGTATCAAATGAAATACCATTACGTATTCCATTAGAACAATTATATTATCTTAAATGTAATCAAACAGATACATTTGAAATAGGACAAATGATATCTGTTGTTGGTCAAATAACTTCAATTGATATATATCATAATGGAAAAAAAGAAGATTTTTGGCATATTAATTGGATTAATATAATAGATGTAACAACAAATAAATCATTTCAGTAAAAAAAAACAAAAATCTCAATATTAACAAAAATAAATTTTATGAACTATTCATCTATTTAGTTTTACAATTGAAAAATATTTAAATAAAGACTTAGGAACGAATTCAAAAGTTTTACATATTCCAGCAGATGTATCAATAAGAAAATCAGGTATAAACATATATTAATTAGTTTTAACGGAAGTCAAAACGATAAGCACGCGAACAAAATGAATTATCTGGTCGATTTCATCTCTAAGCATTAATCTTCTCTTCATTCCCGTCTATACCTCTTACCTTTGTTGTTTTGTTTTTTTTGCATACTTGACGTTTCGGTGCTAAAATTTTTATTTGTTCATTAATTTGTATTAACAAGCAAAGAATAAAATAAAAGATTTTATTCATAGAAAATGGATTTGATTCCATTCCCAACTATGCAATACGTATTAAAACTGGTACACAAACACCTTTACATACGGAAGAAACTAATGAATTATCTGCCGTATCAATAGTATTAATTGATCCTGTGAATGATTCTGCTCGTATACCATTAAAACGAATAAATAATTCCGTACGGTCAATATTTCAACCTGGTCAAGAAGATCGATTTGATATTAGTATTACACCAATGTTAGAAGTATTCGAATACATAATTTTTCTTTATAATTAATTATAATCATCGATGTTCATATTCTTTTGTAGTTAAAAGTATTACAAATATATTTTAATGGTACATTCCCTTGGTTTTGTGAACGAATAACTATTACTGATCAAATTAGTGGTTTATCCTATCGGTAATTATTCTCTTAGCTTTTTTTTCGTATTTATTTTAAAATATAATTAGATTTGATGTTGAACAATGGTTTACAGAAAATATATATGATAATCCAGTGAATATTTTTGGACAACGTGAAGATGATATTGGTACGTCTTCATAGAAAGAAAGATATTCTGATTTTTTGCATGACCTACTATAGTAAATTTCTTTCACGCATTTTAGTACCCTCTAGCTTGTCAGAATAAATACATGACATAAATAACAGACATATTTTATGAAAGCAGGGTTATACTCTAACTGCTAAAATCATCTTGAGATATCAGAAAAACAAAGCCATCGTTTCAGTGTATGATTAATTTAAAGTGCTATTGTATTCACAAACTATAATAAATGTTTGTAAATTTCTTCATTTAAACAATTGCATTGTGTTTCATGGTCTTTTTCTACTTTCATAAGATTTCGTACTAACAGTTTTATTATATAGGTTGGATTTATTCTGTGACAATAAAAACTCAAGCTGTTCTACCAGTACAAACAAGTTTACGAGGAAAAATTTTATTATCAATTTTTGGTGAACATTCTTCATTAAATGATGCTATATTGGGTTCAGGACGATTAATGCATGGATTATTTCATGCTGGAGGAGAAGATATTATTGAACTTAAAAGTAACAAACGACTCGGAGAAGTAATTAAATTGTTTGTTTTTTACTCAAAGTTAATTTAATTAAATTTTCAAACAGATTAATTCAATTGAATTACGTCTTGAAGTCGCTGAATGGCAATCATGGTTATGTGATACGATTGAAATTATTGATTCAACTTCTGCTTGGGATTTTTTATCACGCACGATGATAACCAAAACTTATAAGTAAATAAAATCTGATTTTTCTTTTTAAAAATGTTCAGAATGTGCCATTTCAATGTTCTTATTTAATATGAAAGCGATGTCCTTCGGAAGATCGAGTTAACCTTTCCGGAACTTGTCGTTATTGTATCACGTACTATTCATATGTCTGCGAGATATTAAATCAATCTCACTAATACCCCACGTCTAAATCGACATCCTAAAGGAAGTAAAATCTATGAAAGTAATAGTAGCTTGAAAAGTTGTAAAGTAATACTGGATTTTCAATTATCTTTTCCGAAGAGAAAATCTAAAATTATTTCTTGTACTTTTTCTAATTTTACTAAAAGATTTCCAATAAATCGTTGGCTTGGTCCACATGCTATGGATAAACGAACTGTTATTCGTTCATTAATAAATCAAGAACCTGGTTATGCTAAAATGCCAACATATATAATTCAGATATTAACTGGTACTAAAAATATGAATAATGAATCTGATATTTCAATTAATGTTTATTTACAATTATTTTGTACAATATCAAATAATGTCTATGGACCTATTCTATTAGATAAATCATCAAATAATACACAACCATTTCGTAAAGGTCAAATAGATGAATTTTATATAAATGATTTATCTTATTGTGGTGAAATTAAAAAAATTCGTCTATGGCATGACGGTGGTAAAACAATCTCATGGCATTGTGAATGGTAACAGAAAAAAAAAAATATATATACCTTATTTTCGAATTATTTATTTGTTATTTAATAAATTTATATATATAGGATTAAAATAACCAATGTACATAAGAATGAAATCTATGAATTTTCAGTTGAAAAAATTTTAGATGAAGACTTAGAAGAAGGTTCAAGTAATTTAATTTTATATAGTGAAAAAAAAGATGAAATGAATGAAAGTGAACTTGCTACACCACAATCAATAATTTCGTAATAAAGGGTGTATTATATATGCAATCAATCATTGTATAGAAGAAGAAGAAAAAAAGAAAAGAAAAGAAGTCCATCTGAATGATATGTATATATTCTTGTATGTTACATCATCATTACAAAAAATCATCGAAAGGTGACAATCACTTCCTTTCTTTCTTTTCAGGTTATTTTCTCCTTTTTTTCTTCTTTTTGTTAACTATGATGTAGCTCAAATGTCAATTTATAGGACAAAAAAGAATATACGTTTTAACACGCATAGATATTTACGTAAATTGATTGTCAATGTGACGTGACCATTTAGTATGGACCATTGGATTGATTCGTATAAAGAAGAAACTAATTGTACAAATGAGGCGTTGATGGAAAATTATTGTTAATTTAACATGATGCGTTCGTTTTCTTCTCTCCGGTTTTTTTTCTTCTTGAAGGGCTTAATGATATGGTATATTGTGCAATGCTTCTTGTTGGATTAGACCTGATAGATAGATGATGTGAGGATGTATGCATCTCGATGTGTGTGTATATAAGTATATGGTTATTTACATGTTAGTGTTCGTTCATCCGGAAGATAGGGCATTACTATTAAACTGATGAACTTCAATTATTCAACTCTTTTTTTTTCCTGTTCTTTTTTCCTTTAACCTTAGCATGCAATAGAAAAGAACTAAATACAGCCTTCGTACTTATAATATAACTAGAATAACATTCAAAAGAAAAAAAGTTAGTAACTATCGCTTTAAATGATGATGCCACTATTACCACTAATATCCTGAATTCTGTAAGTTACGTCATTAGATTGTTTTGTCGATGCTTGATGTTGATAAGAAAAGACATGATGAAGCACTTGAAAGTGGCCCCAAATATGTCAGGAATGAGAAAATGACATAGATAGGGTTCGAGAAGAAAAAAAAATTTTCTTGTATCACACGTAGGCACAATTTTGTCAAACGTTTGCATGTTTGTCTATATTGTCAGACATCCTGTCAAGTGATGAAGTGTTCTTGGCTTTCAATCACAGTTGACCATACTTACAATTGCTCTATTTATCTCTCATCGTAGCATGTATATATTGTACCAGTTGTAAGCAATTAATCTCTCACTTTTTCTCTCTCGTACTCTGTTCGCTCTTGTTTATGCATACATTCTCTTCATTCTACAAGAGCCAATGTCACTAAAGCATACGATATACATATGATTCTGATCGATTTTAATGAAGAAGAAAGTATAAAGAAAAGGTAAGCATCATTATAAATAAGATATGCTTAATTTACAATGATTATATATGTTTTTTGTTTGTTTGTGTGTCTATTTTACAACTTTATAAAGAGATTATCCGATCGAAAAAAATTTGTATGTGATTCTCTAGTGAGAATACATCCATTTTTTATTTTACTGAATACCCCCTGAGATTCAACATACTAATAGTACGTTGTCTGCACAAATTATTAATTCAGTGAACGATGTTCTGTCTCCCGTTCTTTTTTTTTTATGTATGTTCTCATCGATTTTATATGCATAAGTGTATACTTGAACATGCATCTCCGAAATCATACGTATATATAGAATAAGAGTAGGGTTTTGTACCATGTTAGACTTCCACTTGAACATCGATTAAAAACTAGTATTGAGCAAATTATTGGTTAGTACTCTATGAGATGATGCAAATTATCTTAGTACTTGACGATGACAGAAAAAACGGACATAGAAAAAGAGAGATACGGACAGAGAGAGAGAGAGAGAAAAAGAAAGATAATTAGAGAGAAAAACTGGCTGCTGCTAGGCAATAGCATCCATAAATCTGCAGACAATGCATTCGTCTCCATCTGGTCTCTTTATATTACCTTGTTGATTTACTAAATAAGAGGGAAAAAAAAAAGAAAAGTAATAAGTCACGTCTAAGATTGATCGATGCATATAGGAAGCCATATATTCTTCATTTACAAAATGATGCTAGATCATCAGACAACAGGGTGGGTCATTTGAACATGATTATTGACCAGTGTACTTCTAAGTAATAATTGGCGTTTTTCTTTTCTTTTATTCGGAATAACGTGCCTATTGGTAAGATATTCACTATATGATCTTATCGATATGATTGAACTTATAAATGTATATCAGAATAAAAGAAAAAGAAAACATACACTTGAATAAAAGATGATGAACGGCGGCATGCTGTTTGTATTATGATGAATTTAGAGAAGCAAAATACTTGTTCTATTCAATACAAACGTACTCATTTTGTTAATATATATCCTTCGATTAAATAAATATAGCACTTATCGTTTTTTTTTTTTTATCTTTTGTTTTTCTTTTTTGTATCTTGATTCTTAGTTAATGAAAAATTGTTCATAAAAATTATTTGATATCATTCAAATGAAGTATGAACCTTGATGATCAACGAACAGTTCGAATCTTTGTGATTTCTTTATTGATATTTTTTTTAATAATCACATTTATCAATCCATGTCATGGCTGGCATAAAACATTAACATTTATTCAACAATCATCCTATGAATTAAGTAAATATTAAAATAAATTTTAAATCATTCGTTCATTTCTTAATTATTAATTCACTAGATTCTCATCATCAAAATCATAAGATTATATCGAATATGAAATTTTTTATGTGGTATAATACTTATGCTATATATGGTACACGTGAAACACTTATTTTATTAAAACCTGATTCAAATAATTCAAATGTAAGTATATTTTGAAAATAAGAAGAAAACAGAACAGATTTTTCTTGTTAAAATAATGAATCAGGTTGAAATATTTTCTTATCATTGGCCTATTGATCAAATAACAATGGATGAATGTCTTCAAGAATGGAATACAAAAGTATAAATTTAATTATTAATAAAAAAAAAACAAAAACCTTTTCGTTTCAAGGATAAATGTTACAATGATGTTGTACATGTTCGAATTTTACCTGATAATATAAAGATGAATGTTTATTGTACATATGCACATCGACCTATGGTACGAACATTTGATTTACAATCAATGTCATTTATTAATGAACATATTCTTATACGTGATCCACATCCTCCAATGGATTCTGAAAGTTCTTATATTATGTTAAATTTTAATACAAATATTATAACAGCTGGTTATCAAGGTGATTATATACCAACAATACGTACTACTCAAGGAAAAACATTACTTTATGCTTTAAGACAAAGTAAAATAAATCATGAATAATATGTTTATTTATATATATAATTATGTATATTTAGATTCTTATTTTATTGGTGGTTTTAAATATGATGGTAAAGCAGTTTTTGGAGTTATTGAAACTTCTGAACGAATTGAAACAGTAAGATTTATTTTAATTTAAATAAAATTTTTTTCTGTTTCTTTTCTTAAGAATCGTATATCACGATTAGTAATGACTTGTGCTAATCGAACTGAAATTGTACGTAAAGCAATTCTTAATTGTTCAACTGATATGTTTGATTCATCACGTTCATTTGTCTTTCATATTTTAAGTAATAAATTAATAAAAGAAAAAATTATTAATTAGTTATTCTTTTGATTTTTTTCAAGCTGCTCTAGTCGATCCAATTCATATGTCAAATGGTTCAACATTACTTTTTGCAACATTTACTACGAATAAGTATAAAAATTAATATTTTTTGATTAATTTTTATTTTCTATTTTTTTCTAATTCTAGTTCATCTATTACAGCTTCAGCTGTATGTTTATATGTACTTGATAAACAATTCTATCATGTATTTACTGCTCCATCAAAAAAAACTAATAGAAGAACATTAATAATTAATAGTGAATTAAATGATTTAATAATAAATTGTAGTCAAAAAATTTCATCAACAATTGATCGTGATATGGTAGAATCAGAACGACAATTTCTATCCTATTTATCAAATCCATTATTAATGGAAACAATGTCATCGTATATATTTACAGCAATTAATGTTATACAATATGATATTGATCATTATTGTTTAATTATTGGCACAAGTACAATTAGCAATACTTTCCTCCTCCTCCTCTTTTCACACCATAGATCCTATATTAAAAACGTTTCATTATTATTTCCTTATTACATTTCTGAAGGATTAAGTAAAAAGATGATGAAAAAATGAGTCTAAAAAAATATTCTCCTTATGATTAGCAAGAGCAACTACATCATTTTTCATATTTTAGTCCCGTAGAGATTGTACTAATAGTATTTATATTTAGGTAATGGTCGTTTATTAACAGCATTTGCTGATAAAACATTTCAAACAAATGTATTTGAAGAATTAACATTACCAATAAATATGCGTTATTCAATTAAATCAATTGCTTATCAAAAAACGTATGTGACATTATTGATTTAAAAGTTAATTTATGTTTTTTTTTAGTGATAATAATTCTTATGTGATTATTATAACAAATCATTTAGGATATTTAGTTATTAAATTAATTCAATGTAATGAAAAACTTTGTTTTGTATGTTGGACAAAAGATTGTTTAATACGAAAAAAATTACCTATAGAGTAAATTTTTTGTTTTATATATATGAAAATATTCTACTTTTTCTTTTATATATTTAGAACAATAGTTCGACATCATTGCGCATCCGATGATAGTATTCGTTCAATATCAATCAATAATACAGAAGAAGATTTTAATAATCAATCTTTACTAAATGACTGGTCATTACCAAATTTAGTTCAAGGTAAGTTAAATATGAAAAGATTTACATTTTCGTGCAGATATCTATATTTTTCTTTATTTAGATGAACAGTTAAATAATAAACTTTTATTATTTTATATTATTACACCAATGTCATTAGTTGTTTTTATTCTTTCAATATCAATTATTATTCTTTTAACAAAATCAAATCATCAACGAAAACAAATTCGTCATAAAAATTATCTTAAAACAAAATATTTATCATCAATTATTCCTCGAAATGATTCAAATACATATGGAAATGATATTTTATATAAAAAAAATAATAAAAAATTATTTACTGAAAAAAAAAATTCATTACATCTTTTTCCTATTAAATCTGAATTATCTATACGTTCGACTCATTATCCTATTTATTCATCATCATCATCATATAGTTTACCTTCATTAGTATTATCTGCACCATCTCCACCACCACCTTTTATACCTCCAGCTACTCCACAATTTCTTTCAGTACATCGTTTATATAAAAGTTATGTTTAATTTTCTTTTTTTTCTTTTTTGTAATCATGTTATTGAATTATACGTGTATTTTTTTATGTGATTTAATAAAATAAATATGTTATTGGTATTCTTTATTAATATCAAAAAATATATACTCATTTCTATTTTCATACAGCATTGCTAAAATTTCTATCATGAGACCAGAGAGTGACAAAGTGAATTTCCTTTTTTTTTTCTATTACTTTTGCTAAAACTTTCTCATAATCTTATCTACATATATATTTGATTAACAGTTGTATTTTCATCAAAATGAATTCGTTTTCTTTTTCGTTTTGTATACGTATGTACGCATATATATAGGTCAAAAGTCATGCACTTTTGACAGACAATGTAGTTTGTTCTATTCTATACCTTTGGAAATGTTTGTTCTATAATGAAGTATTGTCTTCACTGAATTTGAAATATGTTTCAAGAGCTTTTCATATCTACAGTGCTCAATATTGATACGAATCAATTGAGAAAATTAGGATTGAACTCATAATTTCAACAGAATTTTCTAGTTTAAATCTTCAAATTGCTTTTTTAAACATTTTCTTCTAATCAAATAAATCTTAAATTTTATTTGTAAAGTTTTTTTTTGTTTTTATTTATTTCATATATATAAGTGTCTGTAGCGTTGATAAAAACCATAAAAGACCTTAAAGTCTGAAGAAAATGTTTAAGAACATCAAGTACTAGAACAATAAACACAGACACTCATCAAAAAAAAAAGAAAAAATAATAAACGACATAAAAAAGAAAAAGTAATGTTTGAAAATGAAATCCTAAATGTTAAGAAGCAAAACAAAGATCACACACATAACAATACCATACGAACTAGAAAACTGAACATTTTCTATTCCTATATGGTATTTCTCACGCAAAAAGAAAGCAAACAAAACAAAAAAAACCCACATGCACCATACTGCCTGTACATTAGTTATACAAACGAATGCGCCATGTGAGTTTAAAAAAACACACGCACATATTTAAATCCAAAAAAAAGAAAAAGAAAGCGAGCAACAAACAGAAAGATTGTTTTTTTTTTATGTTTTGGATATATATTTATATACATATTCATCAAAAACTGTTGGTGTTAATCATACGATAAGAATTTTGTCGTGGATATGTACCGTTTAAATGACTATATTCATTAGCAATCATAGGTAAACGTATATTATTATCATCATCAGAATCATCATCACGTATTATATTTGGATTTGTAACACGAATACATGTAGCACAATGACATTTTTTTAATACGGGACAAAATATAGCACCTGTTTCGTCATACATTGTATGAGCTATTGGTAAAATAAAAAAAAAAAATAGATAAATAATACAAATTATCTTAAATTTAAAAATAAAAAAGAATCTTACATGTATAAAGACATTCAGGCATATTATGACTTTTACAATGTCTACATATTGTTTTTGTATAGACAGATGGTTGTTTTTGTTGTTGTTGAGAAATATTTTGTTGAGTTTTTAATTGAATTATACCATTGATTTGTTCATTTAGAGCAGGTGAAAAATGACTTTGTGGACTTTCATCTGGTGATGACATAACACTACTATTAGCCGTTGGTAACCATGAAAAATGTGTTAATGACGATGATGATGAAAATTCATGTATTTTTCGACGAGATTCCGTTGGACCATTACTTCAATTAAAAAAAAAAAAGAGCAAAAGATCTAAGTTTATTTATTGCTTTGTTTTTTTTTTAAATTAATTTACTCACTGAAAATAAGTAAATGGTTCAACCATTGTTTCAGCATCAAATTCATAATTAAGTGGATCAAATGCTGTTTCACGTGAATGAATATTGGAATTTTCCATGAGTAGTGATGAAGCTGCTTTGATAAGATTTTTACTACTAGTAGGTGAATAACGATACATTATATGTATGAATTAGTTTAAGAGTAAAATAACAGAAAGAGAAAGAATGAATAGATAGGAACGTATCTGTCGCGTAAAAACGTTTAAAAATTATAAATGAATGATAAAATGAATGAAAACCGGTGAAAATAAAGAGACGCTATGAATCTCTATTTCTCTCTCTCTCTCTGTTCGTCTTTCGAATTCTTTTCTAGTTGTATGGATTTCCATTAGGAAAAAAATCGAGAGAGAATGTTACAGAAAATAAATAGAAATATCGAGAGAGAGAGTGAGAGAGAAAGACAACATGGGATAGAACCTGGATGGGATGAAATATGGCGTCATTTATTGAAGATATATGTCATGCGATAGTGAACCGTGTTAACTACTTGTCGAAAGAAAAAAAGAACGTGCGTTATGAATAGAATATTTTCGCATAATCGGCGGAAATTATATTAGTAAGAAAAAATAAACGATTCTCGTCGATAATGATCAGTGATAGTAACAAGCCAAATGCCCGTTTAACTCGAAGTGCATATTCAAAAAAAAAAAGATACATCCTTATCGATATGAGCAATTTGTGTAATTCGCCGCCGACTGAAATTAGTCTAGAGAGCAAGTGACCGATACTGTACTAATCATGACGTCATGGAGAATAAGGGCATATTTCATTCAATACATGAATGTGTATAAAAGAAACGTAAAAGCAAGATGTAACATTTGAACTGAAATTTGTGAAATTCATTTATTAATAGATTATTGATATTAATAATATTTAAAAAAAAATATAGTTAAATGTTTGCAAATAAACTTTTTTTTCTTTATAATAATTTATTCATCTTCAAAAGTCTATATCCATTTATTTCATAACATTTATCGGTTATTGTGATAAATTCAATCGTAAATCATTTTCTATTTCGTGCTTGGTTATAAAAAATAAATGGATAGTTTAATCAAGTGTATTACAAAAGTTCATAATGGCGATGAGAACTTTTCATTGAACGATGAATCATATCTATTTAGTTGTTAGTATATAATCCTGTTCAATCTTTTCATTCTATTTGTTCTTAAAAAATATACCGACATCATTTGGAATTTGATAATCTAGCTCTTACTATTGTTTTTTTTACATGTAGTCAAACAAAATTTCTTTGCACAACAAATAAATCTTGGCAAACCTAGAAAAAGTTTCGAACCATTTATAACCCGAAAAAAAAACAGAATTTTGACCTGAAATTTTGCTCGTATAGCAACTCATATGATCCATAAGATATTCTGAAAGTTTCAGCTGAAACTTTAGAGATAAAATATGAATTATTGAGTCTACCTATGAGAAAACTTTCAGGTTGAAATTTGTGTTTTTTTTTTATTTTCGATATATACCTAAAGCTGAGTTGAAAATTCAATAAAACGATCCTAATTCGGCTTCAAAGGTCCATGGGAACGAATTCTTTTAGACTTTTGCTAGTCTCATCAAGATATCTTAGTAAACTCAATATAATTTAGCACGGCGTATATTAGTTCGTATGTCACAAATACAATCACATATCATTAATTTAGAGAAACTCAGTTGGTCGATAAAGAAGATTTATTCATATTTTGATTTCGTTAAGCTTCAGTTAGACACAGATCAGAACACGTCATGATAAATAGAAAAATGATTAAAGGTTTTTAATACTGAAATATTTATTTCAGCAATAGTTTTATATTGAGTAAAAGAATTTTGTTCTGTTAATTTAAATGACTCATTTCAAGTGAAAAACGTTTGAAGATATATACTTTTATAAAAACAACTTTCGGTCCTAGACTTGAATACAGATTTCATTGTATAGACTAATTCAACTTTTTTAAACATTGAAACTAGTTTTCTAACGAGTTTTTTCTAAAATATGTAACATGCTTTTTTAGTCTGATAAACAATTGTTTAAATGCTTCAAAAAGGATAAGATTACTTTAACGACTATAGAAAAGAAGTCTAGTCTCTAGATACAAGACTCACGTTAACCAAATTTTCTCTTATTGATTTAACCTTAACAGGAGTAAAAAATTTATTTAGACATAAATCAGCAAAATTAACCTATATTGAATATATTGAGTTACAAACTAAAATAATGCTTAAAAGTTGTTTCTTCATCTAACACATTCCCATGGTTTTATAGTGAATTACATGTTGCATCTCTGGGAAAAAAGTTCAATTCGAAACGATAACAAATAGCAGAAACATTAAGAATATGCTGAGAGACTTTTTTATTCTGTCGGACTCGTTATCATGTTATCAATAATTTATTGGTTCGAATCCAATTTATGTTTCTATATCAAAGAAACGATAAACACACTATATATACACTATCATACTTTTAGCGTACTACTATAATTATAGTGAATCGCATGACACATCTTACGACATAACTATCTTTTTTCTTTCTTTTCTATTCTTCTACTTGACATTCTCCTCTGGGAAAGATCTAATCTATTCGGGAAAGACTATTGAAAACTTATAACGCGAAAAACAAATAAGGCGTGCTTTCGTTTTTTTCTCTCTTTTACATTCTGTGTATACATATGTATGAAATGGGTATATTATCTGATCAGTAGTTATAGCATTGTCATTTTAACTTTTATTTTGCATCTGTTACACATATATTACATTAGATATACTATTCTTGTTTTGTATTTTAACAATCGATTTTATTTTGTCCAAATGACTCACATATCTCGTGATTCTTCTGTAAGTATATATTTGAAAAAAAAAAATAATAATTTTAATTTATTTTATAATATTAGTATTATAAAGATGATGAACGAATAGGTTATTACGATCAAATATCTCCGGAATATCAATTTGGTTAGTAATTCTGTTTTTCTTTTAAAAAGATACCAATACATTTTGTTTTGTTATTTATATAGAAAAGCCAGCAATCGATCGATTATTAGATTATATTTCAAATCAAGAATCACAAAAACCAGCTATTGATATATTAATTCAAGAATATTTAGAAAGAATTGGTAGTCCATTAACATATCAATCAACACAGATAGCACCATTAATGGATATAAGTTTGTATAAATTTTTTTTGTTTTTTTAATATTCATTTTCAATATTTTTATTTAGCTTTGGAAAATGATAATGATAATAAAAATACATGTACTCAACAAACTCAAACACCAACTCGAGGAATACAATATTATCAATCAACTTATCCAACACCATTAACTTCAAGTAATGATATAATGTATGATTCAAATCATGATTATCGAAATACGGCATCAACACCTTTACTTCCGTATGTATATGAATAAAAATATAAATCAATCGAATGAATTTTTTTTTTATCGATAGACCATTATCAGCTCGATCTTATCGTTCATCATCAATAGTAACGGATGGAGTAGGAAGTACGCCATCAATTCATATTTCTACTTCATCAAATCAAGAAACTTCTATTGTTGATCGCTTTGTATGTTGGATTAGTTTTTCTTTTGAAGTAAAACATAAAAACATCTTTTTTTGAATTTTAGACAAAAGTTACCAATAGTCAAGAGAATCGTTTAAAACGTGCAGCTGCTGAAGAACGTCGTCAAGCAACACGCAAGTGTTTATTACTTTTGATAAATCTTATATTAATGATTTTTTTTTCTAGGACATTTTGGAAAAGTTCAACCAGGTTTGATTTGGACAGCACCATTACCAGTTCGACCACGAATATTTTCTATTCGACCACCAGCATTATCTTGCAAGATATTTCTTGGTGGTATTCCACATGATCTTAATCCAAGTAGATATAGCTTGTTTTTCTCTTCTATAAAATTTCTATTGATCAATATAAAAATTAATAGGAGATTTACAAGAACGTTTGGAAAACTTTGGTTCAGTTCGACTTGAATGGCCTAACAAAGATAATGTACCAATGCATAAACATTTATCAAATCATAGTAAGAAACATATGTATAGTTTTTTTTCTTTGTATAATGTTAAGCGATCAGTTCAAGTCCAGAAAATGATTTTAATTAGATAATGTAGTTTTCTAGCTAGGCCGAAGTTATTTTTTAATAATACCGTTAATAAGAGGTCATCGCAGTTTTTTACAACCTTGTCTTGAAAATTTAAATGTATCACAACAACGAAATTTATTGAAAATTCTATTGAAAATCGTCTTTTTTCGATAATCTTTCATTAATGGTATGATTAAAAAATAGCTTCGGGCAACTAAAAATTACTGTGCTCAGTTTTTTTAGGAACCTTGCCATATGAAATCTGGATACGGAATTTATTAGATAGAAATCTCCATTTGAGCTAGATATTTAACATTACTAAAAAATCAGCTTTGTTGTTAAACTTTTGTCCACTACCCCGAAACCAGCTAGATCGCGTTTCATATTTTAAGGTTACTGAGTTTGTACTAATAGTTTGCTTATCTTTTATTTTGAATAAATTAGTTACAGTTGGTTTTGTTTATGCTGTATATGAAAATGAAGAATCTGTTCATAAGATATTACATACATGTTCAACAAAAACTGATCGAACATTAGATGATGGACGATGTGAATATTATCTTGATGTATACAGTCAACGTGCGAATTCAAGAAGAAAAAGTGTAAGAATAATGGTTTTTCTTTTTTTTTTTAAATATAACATAGACCAATTTTCTTCATCTTTCTAGATCCAAATTATTCCATGGTTTGTGGTAAGCAATTGTTTCAATTTGAAAATTAAAAAAAAAAAATTTCTGTTATATAGGAAGATTCTCAATGGATAGCTGAAGGTGATTATACATCAAATGGTTATGGTAATTGGGAACAACGACTTAATTCAACTGAATGTATCAATCGAACAGTATTTGTTGGTGCTTTACATGGAATGATGACAGCATATGCATTAGCTCGTATATGTCACGAATTATTTGGTGATGTTGAATATGCAGCTATTGATACTGATAGAAATAAATATCCGATTGGTAACTTTCCATTTTCCTTTTTTCGTCGAATATTATCGAGATAAAACTCATTTCGATGATCTTCTTGTAAAATTTTATATTATTCTATTGGCTGATTGCTTAAGTTGACTTTTCTCTTATGCAAGAAACTGTGAATATGACGTGGGTGTATATGTAGGTTTCTAATAGATCTTTTACATCGATCTCTCTAGAAAAGGCTTTTATTTCATGGATTTGTTTAGTAGGTAAAAATCTGGTAGTTAAAAGAAATAGATCGAATAAATTCTAATAATGACATTCTTCATATATCAAGTTTCTTTTTTTAATTTTTTTTATAGGTTCTGGTCGTGTAGTTTTCGTCAATGCACATAGTTATTATGCAGCTGTCACAGCTAATTATTTAATGATTGAATGTGATAAATTTTGTAAAGTGGTATGTTGTATATCTATGAATACTTCTTTTATTCTTATCCTTGTTTCTATTAGATTCAAATTGATCCATATGTATCTGATAATGTACCATGTACAGGTAATAATGGACAATGGTGTTCAAATATGGGACAATATTTTTGTCGTTCACTTAAATGTATGAAATATTATTGTGCAACATGTTGGGATTTGAATTCTAATCATCTCACAACACAAACAAATGAATGTGAACCACCAGCAATGGTTCATAAACCATTAATGCGTAATGCTCGAACAGCATGAGAATCATGAACAATTTTTTTTTGTTTTCGATATTTCTTTATCAGTGATATTTGGTTAATATGAAGATTTTTAGTTTTGTTCTTTTAACGTCTTTTTTCCAAAGCTTAAAAAAAGTGATTATGTACAGATAGTTAAGTTTTCTTTTTTTTGTTTTTGTTTCTATGTTAACAAATATTAAGTGCCTCTTACATATTGGGTATTTTGCTCGTATATGTGAGAAACGTGCTTAACCAAGAAAAAAAAACGCATGTTTTTCCATGATTTGTTTTCACAGTTTGTGTGCCTTTTTTCTTTGTTTATTCAAAATTTCGAAAGATTTTACATTTAACTTTTCTGTCAAATATAAAAAAAGATCTGTGCAACAAAACAGTTTATACATTGATTTATGATCGGTTGCGTGCGCATTTGGTCTTCATACTTGAGGGCAGATGTGAAGTGTGTGTGTACGGATATCTATGGGAGATGTGCGCGTATCCTAAAAGAAGATTCATGCCTGAACACACATTGAAACCCGAGGAGCACACCTATACCCACCATAGCTTCAAGTGTTTATATATAGTCTGGAAAATTGTTAGTGATACTATCGTCATGATTAAAGCAATCCAAGTGACTATGTATGATATCGATCGATCTCATCTGTAAAAGAATGAAAGCAACACTACATATAAAGTTGCGTATTAACAATTATCAATTTATCTTGAATACCATCGTTCGTAAACCGATGCTTGATATCAATAACACTATAAATTGTCGCGATGTTAAAAATAAGTGTAGTTATCAGTCGTGTATAAATAATTATCTCGTTATAGAGATCAGCACAGTCATTAAATTTTAGTAGGTTTTCAACGTGAAGATATAAAAGCAATTGTTGTGTATCGGACATTCATCGACACAGTGACACTATCAAGTTATTATACTCTTCTGTTGTCGAACGGCAAGCGAAAAGCAGCGTTGGCAAACTGTGTAGGTTATGCTGGATAAGAAAACGAAGAAAGTCATCAAATACCACAATTTTCGAAGGAAAAATCGCTATCTGATTATTAATGGTCTTTGATGCTTTGAAAGAAAAAACGGAGTTTTTCAGCACCTTTTTGAGGGTTCTACTATCAAGTAAAACGTAGAACCCTTTAAAATGGTTCTGACTGAAAAAGGGGTGTGGGTGTGAGTGTGGGTGTGGATGGAAGCGAATAAAGACAGAAACCAGCACCATCACCCACCCTCTTATCTGTCAATCTGTTTTAGTCATTGCTCTGTTGACTTATAATTTCTTACGACGAAGAAGAACAACAATAATGCAATCACAAGTTATCAAAGGTAAGAAAGACTAAATTCCAATAGCTTGACTGCTTTATTTTATTTTTTTAAAATCAATTGATTTGATTGTATTAAATCTAACATATATTTTGTTTTCAATAAATTTTTCTTACATACTTTTACGATTATTGTAATTCAATTGATGATAACTATTGCTATTATTGCAGAAGAAGGAGATGACGAACATGTTTATATAACACACATTATCGTTGATTTCAATTATCTTTAAGGATAAGCTACAGTTTTGAATGATCAAGTAGTTCAACTAAACCAAACTGTTGCTATAGTATGTGTACAATGGAATATATTCTCTAAACTCATCTTCGATTGTATCATTCTTCTTCGATTCGATGTTGATGAAGAAAGTAATGACATTGTAGAATGAGGTGTATTTCTTACTTATGACTATGTGCTTGTTAAAAGTCTATAGATATAAATAATCGAAACCTTGTAATTTGTTATTTTATACTTTACATAGAGCAAATAGGTGGATTATACTCGACCTGTTTTTGCGAAGTAACAATGAAGAACGTCATACGATATAACTTACAAAATATTTATCGAATATTTTGGCAAAGCAGATTGCATTCTCTTATATAAGACTAATGACACCAACAGCAGACTTTTTAAAGTTAGTGTTATAAGATTGTGTGATTGACAATGGTTTCATAGGTGTAAAAAATAAATAAGATGATAAGAAAATGTCTATGTTAGTAGATAAAGATGAAAATCTCTAGTTTACAGTTAACCTCAATTTATTAGAAAACTACTTATAATCGTTCAAAAATCTAATACACAAAAAATGGGTTATACAATGTACGGTCATTAACAGCTGGATCATTCATTTATATAATAACTTAGACGATCTATCAATAATAATTACATATGCTATGTCTGTAATCGTACAAGCAATTCATAAGGAATTAAGGTACTTCAGTGTACTGTTGTCCATTCAGTCTTATGAAATGCTTTTGCATCTCCTTGAACGGTATATTATCCGATTTTTGTTTGCATTGTAGGATAACTTGAACATTGTAGTTTGTTCCGTTTCTTGCCTTGAAATATGAACGAGCAGTAAATTTTGGTCGACTAGCGCATATGAGCGAAAGTGAAGTGGTCCAATGGGTCAGATCTGGATGATCACTATTGAATGTAGTTCCATCGTTAAGTTTGTCGCCATCGAGTGGCAAAAATTGATTGTTCAAGTTTGATACCAGTCGATTGGTGATGTTCCGTAGTAGCTGGTTCCCATTCTCTAAATATATTCCATTATTTTTGATGCGCTTGATTTACACTAAGATCGAAGGGAACCCAATCATGAAGTTGTTTGCACCAAGGTCCACGTTTCGTGTTTACGTCCGAAGGATCATAACATTCTCTGCAGAAACATTTGTCGTAATGGCTATCAAGATATTAAGGTTTAATTCTTTAAAATATTCTTTACAGAGCAGTTTCAGACATTGAAGCAATGGAAAAACTGATCGAGAGTTTGACGAAGACATGGTTCTAGGAGCATGACGGCTACATATGAATTATATGAGATTATGAACTGCCAAATAACATGCGATGCAAAAGTCTTGGCAAAAATATCAAACTCTGTTAGACCGTCCTGATGATTTTCAAACCCATGAAATTTTTTTGTTGGAAAGAGCAATGTCTAAACTACAAATTTTGTACCAGATATATTTCTCCAGAACGAACCTGAAACAGAGGAAAAGTCAAAAATCAACATCTCGGAAAAAAAGTTCTTGCAACTTCACTATCGATGAACATCATTTTCTATTTTCTGTTAGTTTCTTTCAATCAGAAGAGAAATGAGAAAACATATTTAGTGATGATTTTTCTAGTGTAAGGAGAGTACTCTTTCTGATGGCGTATTGAAATTTAAATTTACTCTTGGTATTTGTACCAAAATAAAGTTTTTTTCTGAAGAAGTCTAAGTAATTTGGTCGATCTTACTACCTGACCGCTTTACAATGATAAAACATATCTTTTCAATTGTTTTCCTTCTGCTTAAATTTTACAATGAGATATAGTTCGACCAGGTAACGCAAAAAGAATTCAGTTCATGGATGATTTTTGGAGATGGTGGCTGATGTTCTGGTACACTGATGGATCTTGCAAAAGGGTCAATTTTGCAAAAATTTCATGTTTCAAACTGTTTTGATTAAAGAGTCAAGAATAGATCCAAAAAATTTTACCAAAGTTGTTATCGATAGAGCTTTGGATATGCTATATTTTCGTGTATTTTTTGTTCAAATTTGATCCATGCAGTCAAAAATAATTGAACAATACAAACTTTTCAAGTTGCAAAAATGTTGCAGGAACTTTTTTCAGAGGTGTTGGCTTTTGGCTTTTCCTCTGTTTCAGGTTCGTTCTGGAGGAATACATCTGGTACAAAATTTTTAGTTCAGACATTGCTCTTTCCAACAAAAAAAAATTCATGGGTTTGAAAGTTATCAAGACGGTCTAACAGAGTTTGATATTTTTGCCAAGACTTTTGCATTGCATGTTATAATGAAAAGAATTAATATTGCTTATTCTACTCTGACCACGTATAATATCGAATGCATCGAATTGATTATTTGAACACAAAAATGAAACATGTGTTCGCTATCTGGCGACATCTAGCGATAATGGTGTTTGATTTTGTTATTTTCTTAAGTACAATCAAAAAAAAATGACGTAATTCAGTTAATTTTTATTCTTATTCTGTTCTTAAATTTCAAACGTATCAGATTCTATCTTAGTTGGATCTCGCTTAGGGTGGGTGTGGGTGTGAGTGTGGGGGGTGGATGGGCGTGGAGGGTGGGTGGGTGTGTGTGGGGGGTGGGTGGGCATGGGTGGGGGGGTGGGCGCGGGTGTGGGTGTTGGTTTTACTCACACCCACGCCCACACCCACACCCGCCCACACCCACACCCACACCCAATTAATACATAAAATCATATGGATAATTCTATTATTGATACAAGTATTGGTCGTATATTTTCAATTAATAATGATAATGCAAGTCATATTACTTCCAATGAAGCTGGTCATATTGACTTAACTAATGGAAAAAATCATATGAATGATAATATGGTTTTTAAAAGTTATCATTCAACAAGAAAAATTAAGTGTTTTTGCACTTGTTAATTTCTCAATGTAAAAACAAAAGTTTTTTTTTTTTTTTACCAATTTTTAATACTTGTAAACTGTTTTGTTCTTAAATAAATTCATTGGATAATCATAATACTTGATCTACAAATATCAATCAAATAATCTGTTCCATAGAGTAGAATTTGAAATGGATAGGTATTACTCAGTGCATCTATATGGGCAAAACAGGACATACCCCTTTCATTTGACTTTGATTTTTGACACAAGTGTTTTTTTCTGAATAAGTTTTTTTAGTATAGACATATGTAAAAATGTTGGCTCTTTCAGATGCTACTTAATTAAAATTAATTAATTAATCATTTAATTAATTAACAAGTAATTAGTGAATATCTCTTCAGCCGTATGAAGAAAAAATCTAAAAATTTCATGATAAACTCTAGGGATCGAGCCACATCTATGATAAAATTTTCAGCAAGATCGGACTCAAAAACTTTTCCTCATAAAACTGATCCTCTACAGATCCTACCAAGCTCCACAAAGAAAACTTTTGTCTTATTATCATCTTAAGATCCTGAGGAAGAATTCG